TTTTTTTCGTCACCCACAAAAAAAAAATCGTGTGGGTGGTCTCGCTTTTGTGGCCCCGAAAATGTGATTTGTTTTGGGTGTGGGGGGGGGGGGGGGGGGGGGGGGGGGGTTTGTATCTGTGTGTGAGAGTGTCTGTATCGCTGTGTGTGTGTGTGTGTCTGTGTGTGAACTTTTGTGTGCGCGCTAAAGCCAGACATGGTCACGCCGTCCGTCCGTCTGTCCGGCTTGGCGGCACGTCGGCCTGTCGCTTGCGCTGCCTGACATTTGCCGCAGCCAACGCCCGCCCACTGGCAACATGCCTCTGCTGCTGCGTCGTTAAGCTCTGTGTCCCTGTCTGTGTGTGTGTGTGTGTGTGTGTGTGTGTGTGTGTGGCAAGGCAACCATTACCACAACCACCATTAACGTGGCAGGCAGCAGGCAGGCAGCCAGGCGTTGCTGTTGGTGTTGCTTTTATTGTCGGTTGACTCCAATCTGCTTTGGTTGCTGCGCCACACGATGACGGCTGGCAAACTTTGTGCCTCGTGGCCGATGGCTCGTGCCACTGCTGCCACTGCCACAGCCACATCCAGTAGCAAGCAGCAGAACCAACCAGCAGCAGCAGCACCATTCAGTCGGGAAATTTTGCACAAACGAAGCGCACGCGACAGCGGATAAATCCAAACGGCGAAAAACAGTCGAAAAATAACGTGAAAAAACCCACAGCTCAGCTTTTACAGTTGCTTTTGTCGTCAGTTAGCCGTGAACCATCGGGCTATACGGACGTTGTCTGCCTCCTTTTTGGATACGGAATTTTATCTCAAGAGAAATTACAAGCGGAACAAAAACTCAAAAGACGTGCAATTTCTGTCTGTCTGTAGCGCGGGAATATTTTGAAAAAAAATAAAAGAAAGGAAAAGAAAAAGAAAATCGAGTTTAACTGAAAGTCAAATTAAACGTGGAAAAGTGGAAAATCCCCGCTAAAAACAAATCTCTGGCGGATCGAAGAATTCTTGTGAATTCCGTAAAAATGAGAAAATGACAGCAAAACGTGATAAGGATTACTCGAAAAATAAATCGGCAACTGGTAAAAATATACTTTTAAAAAATCTATAATGCGAAAGATTTTGCCTAAAAAAGGGGATGCGAAAGATATGGATCTTATTTTATCTCTACTCTATTTACTGCATTCATATTTACCATTCAAGGTTTAATCCTGAATTTCTTGCTCTTATTCTTATTTCTCTTATTTCAAGGTATTTTCTAAGAATTTGATCATCATTCAATTAATAAATATGATTCTCAGAGCCATTTTAAAGGATAAATCGGAGAGTAAAGATTAATCTGAAATTCTTAGAATTTAGTTAGCTTTCATTCAGGAAAATTCTTTTCATAAAGAAGATATAAAAGTATCAAGATATCTAGAATAGTCACAGTTAGTGGTTTTTAAAGCCTAAATCCATTTCCCAAATAAAATAATGAATGGGAACTACAGTGCGTTTCACATAAATAAACACCTGTAGGCGCGCTTTAACGCCCGGCACGGTTTGCCTTCTGTTTGCAGAATTCTGTTTTTTTTTTTTGGGATTTAGTGTTAAACCATTCAATTAGGACATTGAGAGATACATAGACTAAAAACAAACGGACAAATGTAGCACTTTAATTTGATTGCAACATTTGAAACAATCCCAAAAAAAAAAGTAGAAAACAACATGGAAAGAAAAAAGAATTAAAATAACAAAAATGAAGTTGGTCCATTCGTAGTTCTTGGCTACGGAAATCCTAGACTTTAAAGAAGACTCCTAGAGATTTGAAAGAGATTAATGGGAAATTTACGATTTCATACAAGCTCTTTGCAATAAATACCCCATCAAAAAGGATGCTAGCTTGGTAAATCCTTAAAGATCTGATATTTGAAACGATTTTCGAGTCCGATTGAAATGTGTAAAGTTTCTACCATTTAGAATATATCACAAACAAACTTTAAACAAAATTCTTCTGTTGCGCTAAAAATGCTGTAAAATATTACAAATGTCAAGACTCCATATTTACGGTTCTGCCCTCTGATTCCGGGAGATTCCAGATATTTGCAAAGTCAATATATACTATATTATATACGATTGACGATGACTACAACTATCCACCTAATCCTTGGATATCTTTTCTTTCTTTCTTTTTGTTTACCAGGCATCGGATTCACCGCCGCCGGCTCGACCGCCAATGGCAGCGGCATAAAGTCCATTGGGCTGGTGAGCTCCACGCAGAATGTAACCTCGTCGCAGGACATCAGCAAGCGAACAAATAAACCACTCATGGAAAAGCGACGAAGGGCGCGCATCAACCAGAGCCTGGCCATCCTGAAGGCCCTTATCCTCGAGTCGACAAAGAGTCAGAATGCGAAGAACGGCGAGGGACAGGCCAAGCACACGAAGCTAGAGAAGGCGGACATTCTAGAGCTGACAGTGCGCCACTTCCAGCGACATCGCAACCTCGATGATCCTTGTGAGTGTCTCGGGCTCGGGCTCGGGCTCGGGCCGTCTACTCGTGTATCACGTGTCTCATTGAATGCATTTTCTATCCCTGCAGCTGTCAACAAGTATCGAGCGGGATATACGGACTGTGCTCGAGAAGTGGCTCGTTATTTGGCCACGCCAGAGCCACCGCCAATGGGCAGCATGCCCACACTTGGGGAGCCCGGATCGAAGGCGCGTTTGTTGCGACATCTGGATCAGTGCATAGCAGAGATCGATGTGGAGATCTGTCCCCATTCGACGGCCAACTTTGTGGAGAGTCCGAGCAGCAGCAGCTGCTTCGATCTGAACAACTCGAAGAAGTCGCAGCCGGACGAGCATTCGCTGGACTACAGCAGCCAGGACTCGAATCCCCTGGACTACAGCAAGGGCCTGAAGCTGGGTGCCGATCAGCGACTACTGCAGGCCTCGACCCCGGCGCCTCAGGACGAGAACAACAATCGTGGCCAGCAGATCCAACAGATTCCCCCACAGATCCAGTCGCAGGTGGACCCTGGGGTAGCGACCAGCAGCATCGTCTCGGAGCTGAGCTACGAGGACGATCGAAACAAAGTGTGTGCCAATGTCCTCGAGCAGTACAAGCAGCAGCTGAAGCAGGCCCAGCAGATTCAGCAGCAGCAGCAGCCCGACAGCGCCAACGGTGTGCTCGTCCTCCCTCCCCACTACGTGCAACTGGCGGCGGCTCTGGGCCTCAGTGCCCAGCCCCTGGTCGATCCAATTGCCACGCGCACGGACTTTGAGCGACTCATTGAGCTGCAGCGTGTCCAGCCACAGCTGGCGGGCAAGCTGAGTCCCAACTTTCCCGGTGGCTTAGAGGCAGCTCATGTCGCTGCCGCAGCTGCGGCTGCGTATGCCAACAGCATGGCAGTGGCCGCGTCTGCAGGAGTCACCGTCTCCGCCATGACTGCGACTGCGGCAACAGACCGGCCAGCCTCCGTGGCTGCTTCGGTTAGCTCTGGCGTCTCTGTAAATGAGCTAAAGTCGATGCCTGCGACGCAGCAGTCATCGCCCCGATCGGAGAGTGGCATTGGCTCCAATGAGAATGAGGCGCTGGAGGCCAGTCCACGTCCGCAGACGAGCAGTGCAGCGCGCCAGGCGCTGAGGCAGCGTCAGGAGGAGGAGTATCACTATATGGCGCAGGCGGGAGCAGCCGGGCAGCCCGGTCCTGGCCAGGATGAGAGCATGTGGCGTCCGTGGTGAATGCGAGAATAACGCAGCCTGAGGAGAAGGAGGCTAGATTTTATGTACCAAGTATGTAGACTGCACAAGTTTGTTGGGCTTATGTGGAGATGGTAAATGGTGACGCCGGCAACCGGCGTACCGCCGTCCCCCCACAAGACGAAAAGAAATGGATGGATGGAGATGGATCAGAAACCTATTGTTATAACTGCTCTACTGTCTATGAAGCTCGTTTTCTGAATTTGCATTTTTTACGTGTGCCAATGCCCAAAGAAGCGATTCTTTGGTTAGATTTATTTGGATCGAGGGGAGCATTAATGTGCGTGCGATCATATGATTTACCTATGAAATTATGTATGTATGTTTTTTGCCCTGAACTATGCGTTAAATGTATTTAATTCTATACTAAAGCTAAGATATTTACAAAAACAGTGATGTGTTGGTGGTGTTTCTATAATTATTTGAATTTCGACTAGTAAAATCGATATCATTATAATCGAGTTCTACTGATCGCTAATCGTTCATTGCCAGAGAAAAATCGAACAGAATATTTGGTAATTTATTTAAAATTTTAATTTCGATATTTTAAAATTTGTTTAACTTGGATAAATTGTCTTTTGTTTGTTGCAACTTTATTAAAGTACTTCCTCTAAAAATACTATATAGATCAGCTCCATGCGGATATCGAATAAATACTTGCGTTATGTTTATATATGTATATATATATTATATATAGATTTATATAAATGTTGAAACAAACCCCTGGCGATGAAATATGTCCTTAACTTAATCGAACAGAATCGAGTGCCCCTACTTTGATTTCATTGCACTTAGTGGTTTGCGTGGCGCGGATTGTCGCTGGCGTGCCAGAAATGTCTGCCCCGAGCCCATTAATATGGCCAATTTCGAGTCAACAGCATCGCGCTGGGCATTGACACCCAATCTGTAGAAGGCCGAGGTCATCAATTGCTCTTCCATTACGCTCATTTTTGGCTTTGGCTCCTCCTCAACGACATCGAAATACTTTTCCAAGGCACTGGCATCGATTGCTGCAAAGTCATGAGTATTTAAATGCATTTTCTTGGGTGTTTTTAGGTCTATAAATACCACTGGCTATGCGCGGATCGAAGCTCTTGATAACCTCCTTGGCCTTTTCCAAACATTTTCGGTATTTCGCATCGTAGGCCATTACTTCCTGCTCGCGAGCAGTCAGATTAGTTTCCAGCTGTGTAACCTTGCACTGCAATGAGGAGCTCTGCGCCACGGACTCTTCCAATTGTAGGGCTGCAAGAAAATTTAAATAAAGTTGGATTCATTTTTTTTTGTAGGAAAAACTTCCATGAGACTCACTCTTTTGTTCATTCAGCTCCATTAGCTGCTTGATTTGCTTGCCGAATTCGCTTCTGCAATGGAAAGGAATGTTATTAAAAATATTGAAAGGCAGATTGAATGTTTAGTTACTCTTTCAGTATGGGATCGTCACTCTGGGAGGCATGCGACAGGGAGAGTATACGCTCATTGGCCGTCTTTAGCTGTTCGCGTAGATTCTCGCAGCGTTTGTTAGCATCATCCAGAAGTTGCTGCTTTGCAAATTACAACAATTTATAAAGAGATAAACTACTGCACCATCTTCCATGACTCACCGCCAGAGCCGTTTGACCGCCCTGCCCTTCGCGCAGAGCCTTGTTTTCCGCCTCGAGACGCTGCATCTTCTCCACAGTGGCTGGGGGTTGCAACTCCCGGGAAACTGTGGTACCCGTGAGACCCGAATTGGAAGACAGATGCCCGCATTTGAGCTCGTCGACGGCCTCGCGAAGATTGTCACGTTCCTTCAGCAAACTATCCTTGGCTCGCTGCAGGGCGAGATTCTTGCCCTCCAGATTCTTGTTGTCAAACTCCAGCTTCACATTCTTGCTGCTCTCGCTGTCCAGCTTGGTGTGCAGATCCTGGATCTCCTTCTTGAACAGCTCTATCTGGCCCTTGGTATTGGCATATCGCTTGGCATCCTCCTCGAACTGTGCGTTCTGCTGCACATAGTCCGCACTGCGCTCCTCCAGGATCTTGACCTGCTTCTTCAAGTCATTGTAGTCCTCCAGCTTCTTTTTGTACGTATCCAGCTGTCCCTCGCATATTTTCAGCTTGTCATTCGATTCCCGCAGCACGTCCACTTCGTCCTTCAGAGTCGTCACCTCAGCAGTGCTTTTCTGTTGGAAATTGTTGAAAATTATAATAAACCAAAACAAAGGCTGAAGTGTCCGCATACCAAGAGCTCATCTATGCGCATTTGCATGTGCAACAGGTCGGTCTCCTGCTGCTGGGCCTTCAATTTCACATCCTCGCGTGCACCTTCCGACTGCAGGAGTTCTTCCTTCAGCAAATCGAGCTGACGCCGAAGCTCGTTGTAGCGCACAGAGCCCGTTTGGACGGGTCCCAACGAAACACCATCATCGCCAATGACTGTGGAGCTATGCTCCAGACGTGCAAACTCCTGCTGCAGCTTCTGCAGTTCCTGCTGAAGGTTTGTCTTCTCGTCGATTAGCAGCAGCATTTTCTTTTCGGTTTCGAAACATTTCTGGGCCATGGCATCGCGCTCCTCTTGCAGCACCTTGCCATCCAGCATCCCACTGATGGAACTGCGCGACAACGAAGTGACGATGCCTCCCTCGGCGGCATTACGGCTGGACTCCAGCTCCTGCAGGGCTCTCATGATGTTCGCCTGCAGCTCCTCCTCCAGGCACATGATCTCGGTGATGTACGATTGCTTCTTGGCACAGTTGACCGCACAGCCCAGCACCAGCTGCAGCAAACGCTCCAGCTCGACAAGGTCGCAATTCTCGGCAATGCGCTGAACATCGGGCTTCACAAAATCGCTGAGGGTGTAGTTGAGGACCTCGCTGTAGTACTCGTACAACGATTGTGTTACTTTCTTTAGATTACTCATACGCAAACGCCAATTGATTCCCACGGCGCTGGCTTTGATTTTCGATAGCCACAAGTCTGTGAATGATTCGGGGGCGAATTGGTTCAGCGCCTGGGCTACGGCTACGCCGTCTGCCAGTGACTCGGCATCTGCGTGGGGTGCGTTCAAATTGAGTGTCTTGAACCACTCCAGCAGGCTGTAATACATTTCGTTCTTGGCAGCGGACATATTACGTGTCTTCTGGACAACGTCGAACGGAACAAAACAAACACAAATCAAATATAGAAAATTTCACAAAAGACCCACACAGCTGTGCAGTGAAAACAAAACAGAATAGAGATGCACCAACACCATCGATAGCTATTACGCCCCTACCGAAGCAGCTGGCTGTCAATCATACGGTGATGTCACTTCTTATGCGATAATAGCTATTACTGTGCTATCGATTTAAAGAAGTGGGGATACGATACATAAATATATAAGAATATAAACCATTTTATTCATGATTAATGTTAAAGTCAATAGCCATAGCTGAGCCTCGTCCACTGTCCAAGGCCCTCTCCATACATTTCTCCGCCCATTTGAGCCTCTCATCTTGCTGTTTTACATTTTCCAGTGGTGTCCAACTTAAATCGAATTCTAGTCTATAGCTGCCCTTATATGTTTGGTCGACCGAATGATTCCATTCCTGAAAATGTAAAAATATTATAATTACATCTGCTGAACAAGTGTTGTTGTTTGTCAGACTTACTTCCGGCGAGAGCATGCTGAAATATGTTTGACCTGATGGCCTTTGATAAAGATGATAGATTTGTCCGGGTTTCTTCGTAAAATTACAAGCGGCATTGTGCAGATCCCGGTTGACATTTGACTCTTTTAATATTTCCATGGCCTGAGCTTGCAGCATCTTGATCTAAAATCATGATTATGTTAATTCAAATCAATATAAGCTAAGTGTTGTCCCTACCTGGTCCATTATTACTCCAAGCTTGTTGCAAGTGGTATTTTTGAGTTGTTTGTCCGCGTTTTGAATTTGTTGGGCCAAGGAAATAATGTCCTCCTGGCCGTGCATAGAAACACGCAGGGGATCCAACTGATTTTGGGGATTTCTCTCCACCAATTGTGCTGTAAGAGGTAAAGTGTTTTAATATTTTACTATACACCGATTATTGCTTTGCATACCCTTTTTAATTGCTGTGGTGTATGTTAACTGATCCATTGTGGCAGCTCTTTTCATTACCCGGTGAAATACATTAATGTGAATTAATTGAATTGTTAAATTTGAGTAGGCTATGGACAAAAATTAAACAATCATGTGTTTGGGATTGTTGTTCTTTTTCTATATATCGATGTGGGCTATTGAAGTGAACAACCGATAGTAGGCAATGGCAATCGAATATATCGATAGGTGGCAGTAATTTTGCACTGCCATCTTTAGGCCAGACCTAGAGCAAGAAGAAGAAAGCCAAATTTTAGTTGTAGTTGCTAGCAAAATTCTAAATTTTTTTATTCAAATAGAAGTTAAAGTGTAATGGTTTACAAAAAGCAGCGTACTTGTGCGATGCTGATGTGCTAATTATCAAACGAGCATCAAGTAAAAGAGCGAGAGTAAAAGAATGCCTTAAATTGTGGGCCGTAGCAACGGTTTCAAGTGGGGGAAATATATTAGGGAAACATTAAATGCCAATTAAAAAAGCGCACGCGCGCATAATAATGCAACACTAGAGCCACAGCGAAAACTTGAACTTTACATTAAACGGAAACAGCTGCGGGAAAAAGTGATTAAACGTGACACAATAACTAGAAATTGCATTCGGTAAGCAATTGGCCCCAAACAAATATAATCATTTTTCATTTGTATAAACTATATACTATGTGTGTGCGGGAGTGTGTGTGTGTAAGTTCGTAAACAACATGCGGGTCAATTATATATTTTCCGTTTGTATTTTCCCAAAATGCTGCTGAGTGTACCATTCAAATATTATTATCATTCAGAGAGAGAAAGAGAGAGAGAGAGAGAGTGAGAGGCAGAGACCACACAAGAAATACACTCGTATATATGTAAATAGATATGTATCCCCTCCATATGTCTTATCGGCATGCGTCATATGCACGTCCGTCCGTCCGTCCGACTGACTCCCGCACCATGGTGTATGGGGTGGCGTGGAGCTGAGTTCCATACACAATGATGGTCATGAGACCTTCTAATTCCATATCCGTTGAACAGTCAGTCCCAGTCC